TTTCTGTCTCAACCCTTTGAACTATGGCTACATTAACCCCAATGTAGATCAGCCTGATGACCTTGTAGAGCTGCGCAAGTCCAGTTTCTATGGTGCAGTATCTCTCAGTCCATACCCCTCTATCCCTGACCCCAATCAATTTGCCACTTTTCAAGACCTCCTTGACTACACAGCTACCTCCCTTCAGGGGGCAGCAAATCCTCCATCAGCAGAAAACTACCATGATGCAGAGACTGCCATCCTAAGACGAGCCCAGATAGAATCATTTAAGGATGATTTGGCCTGCCTTCAAAACCCAAAAACCCCTTCTATCTTCAAGCCGTTTACTCTCCCTTGCCCCTGAATTAGATCCTACATTAGGACTCATTCAACTAGGCGGAAGGCTACATCAGAGTAGTGATCTACTTCCTGATGCCATTCACCCAATTGTCCTGGATCCTGCACATCCTATAACAAAACTCATAATTAAGGATTATGATGATCACTTACACCATCCTGGAGCAGAAAGACTTTTTGCTGAGTTAAGGAGAAGGTTCTGGATCTTAAGGGGTCGTGAGATGGTCCGTAAACACCAACATAAGTGCCCTAAATGCCAGCAGTTCCGTGCTCATCCTACTATTCCCAGAATGGCTGATCTTCCTCCAGCCCGTCTATGCCTTTGCAAACCTCCATTTTACTCTACTGGGGTAGATTGCTTTGGGCCCTACACAGTAAAAATTGGCAGACGAGCTGAGAAAAGATGGGGAATCATTTTCAAATGTCTGACTACTAGATATATACACCTTGATCTTCTCTGTCACATGAACACCGACTCCTTCCTGATGGCACTCAGGCGTTTTGTTGCTCGTAGAGGGAAACCAGCTGAGCTGCTTTCAGACAGAGGTAATAAAAAGTTATTAGAAGCCTATCATTCCGTAACCAATGACCTTCAGGCAACCCTGGCCAAACAGAGAAGTACTTTCAAATTTAATCCTCCACATGCACCCCACTTTGGTGGAACTTGGGAACGTGAAATACGCTCCATCAAAATTGCCCTGGAAAGCACCCTAGGAGCTCAAACGGTCAGTGAAGAGGTACTACGCACAGTCATGATTGAAATCGAAGGCATTCTAAACTCCAAGCCCTTAGGATATGTGTCATCTGATGTTGCTGATCTTGACCCTGTGACCCCTAATTTGCTTCTCATGGGGCGACACGATGCTTCCCTTCCTCTCGTAACATACCCAGACTCTGAACTGTGCAGTCGCCGTCAATGGTGTCATAGTCAAATCCTTTCTGATCATTTTTGGGCTCATTTCCTCAAATTACCTCGCTTCAGTCCAGACAGAAGTGGCGCACTGACAAGCCTAACTTACAACCTAACACTGTTGTTCTTATTCTTGATCCCCAGCTTCCCCGATCTCAGTGGCCAGTAGGAAAGGTAATTAACCTCCATCCCAGCAAGGATGGCCGTTATAGGATTGCTGATGTTCAGGTTAAGGATCGGATCTACACAAGGCCCATCGCCCGCCTTGTTCCTCTCCCAGCCTTGCCTGATTCCCCTTAAACTGTCAAATTTGCATTACAAATTTGGGGGCGGCTGTTGAAAAATTTTTGTTCTTAAACAGCAAACTCAGTGTCACACCCCTGCTCCGATGGTACACTCCAATCTCCTCATTCAACCTCTGGCCAATCAGGACTGCCTCAAGGCCTTTATTACCTGCACCTGTGCTCACAGTTTGTTACTTTCTGGCAGCACATGGCTGAACTGCAGAGGACTGAATTTGATCTCCCTTGTTTTCCTGTGTGTGCGCGTATTTGACCATGTAAGTGGCTTTTGTATGATTTAAGTTGACTTAAGTGCTCATGTTTCATGTTTGCAATATATTTGTTTAGTTATGTACTTAGTTTGTTGGTAAACTGAAGCATTTGTATTTGTTATTTCCTTACTGATTACTGATACATTGTATTTCTGTTGTTTCCTTGCAGAAACACACACACACACACACACATACACATACATACCTTTCATCCTATGTACAAATCCTTGTCATTGTTAATAAACACAACTAAATGGAGTGACTAGACTGGACCTCTGTTCTTACCGACAGCACCACTGGCTTCAAGCTAGCTACCTAAACAAGTTACCTCACAACCTCCTTTTCAACTTCATAAAATAGAACCTAGTTGTTCATGTAAAACTGGGTTGTCAAGCTCAGTTTTTGGAGGGCCACAACTCTGCAGAGTTTAGTTTCAGTGCTGCTTCAGCATACATACAGTACCTGTAGGTTTAAAGAAGCCGAAAGGAATCAATTAATTTGACCAGGTGTTTTTAATTGGGGTTAAAAGCTAAACACCTGTGATGTGACTTTTTTTCAAAACGTCCACAGAAAAGGAAAATACAGAGGGAAAATGGGTTTATTCCATGTTCCGTGTTATTTTTTTAATTATTTAAAATAAAATCATGTGCTAGTTGAAAGTTGATTTCTGGTAAAAAAAAAAAAAAAAAAAAAAAAAATTTTATGAAATTTTAAGATGGGGAAATATGCATTTTGATTGGTTTTTAACATGCTATCAGATTTGATTTATCTGAATTTGATTATGTATTATGTATGTTCACATTTTATCAGTAAATCATTAGTAAATTATTTTTGTTTAATTCTTGGGTGAAGCATCATTTTAAAGTCTTGTATAATGTACATATTAAACTTTTTTTTTTTTTCATTTATTCAACTATAAACTTCAAGTAGCTAATTGTTCACAAATTATATGCATTTTTGCAAAAATAGTGAGGGCTAGCGAAGCACACAAGTCTACTTGAACTCTGAGCATTTATGTACACAAATAGACCCTTGGGCATTTTCTAAAAACATTGGAAGCATCAAAAGTATAGTATTAAAATTGAAACATCCTAATTGTAGAAACGTCTTAATGTTAATATACATCCTATATGTATGTACACTAGGCATGGGATGGTAACCTTTTTCAAGGTATACCGGGGTTTGGAAAAGTTAAGGTTTAAAAACCGCTAATTTTTTTTGTAATACTGTCCTAAGGTATGTGTACCTTTTTTTATTTACTTTAGTTTTTTGAGACAGCAGTATTCATTCATTTTCTTTTCAGCTTAGTCCCTTTATTATTCCGGGGTCGCCACAGCGGAATGAAAGCACAAACTCATCCAGCATATTGCACAGCGGATGCCTTTCCAGCTGCAACACATCTCTGGGAAACATCCATACACACTCATTCACTATGGACAATTTAGCCTACCCAATTGGCCTGTAACGCATTTCTTTGGACTGTGGGGGAAACTGGAGCACACAGAGGAAACACCCCCGAACGCAGGGAGAACATGCAAACTCCGCACAGAAACGCCAACTGACCCAGCCGAGGCTTGAACCAGCGACCTTTTTGCTGTGAGGTGAGAGCACTGCCTACTGCACCACTGCGTCGCCCCAAGACAACAGTATCTCCAGCAGAAAAGATCTCCAAAGATGCCGTTTTAAAATGTAAAGAAATCTGTGTTTTAGAAACAAATGCAGACAGCAGAAGTCAATAAATAATTTCAAATATTTAGCCTGACATGTTTACAAAGCATTTAAACAATAAATATATTGTGTTTAAAGGAGGGGAAAGTTTTAGTTTTTTTGTACACAGACATTTAAAAAGAACATATTATAGAGCAGTAAGCACAATACCATGAAACCCGTGATATTTTTATCTAAGGTTATCATACCGTCAGAATCTTATCAACACACACAATCAAATTTACGCCCATATGGTAGGCGAAGATTTGTCACAAAAATTAAATGGCTTTGCTTGGTTAAGTCTTCAATAAAAATGAATTCTTGGATGCTGTATAGATGTATAACAATAAACAGTTTCAGGCCCTATTTCTGTTGTTGATTTTGGTATTAAATAAACACAGGAATGGTATGAAACTCAGTAAAGGTTGGTACTTGATACATGAACACACAAAATCCAGAAGAAAGTCATGCTTATGTCTTCCAAATTATAAATAACCCAACTGGAAAAAGAAATATGCTATAGATAAGTTTTTTGTAAGCTAAATTTAATGTCTAGCTTGCCTTTATGTATATTTAGTTTTTAATAATGTTAAAAAACTCCTGTAAAAAGAAACCAAACAGACATCTTTGCTACAAGGCATTCAATAATATTTTAAGTCTATATTCAAAATAGTAACAAGGCAGAAAATACATTAAATTGCATGAATGTACTAACATCACAGACAGAAATATAACTAAACTGGTAATTAAATCTGACTATTTGTAAGTTATTTTTATTTTTGCATTTATATTTGCAGTGATATCCCAGTGATGTGTTAGATGGAAGGGCATTGCTGTGTAAAACACATGCTGGATAAGTTGGCGGTTCATTCCACTGCGGTGAACACTGATTAATAAATTGACTAAACTGAAAAAATGAATGAATTTGCAGTGATTTATTTAAACCAGTGGAATCTGTTTCAAATAATCTCCTAGATATAAATTAGTACCTAAAAATAAAAATTAACAATACTGAACATTTAATTGTATTTTTTATTCTTAGTTTACATTTATTTTTGCAGTGGATTATTTAAATCAATGCAATCTGTTTCAAATAATTCCATAAAAATAATTCTGTCATAAAATCTGATTAAACATGCAGAACTAATCTGTGGTAAATAAAACTGCGTGTTCAAATGTAAGTTATTTTTATTTCTGCATGTATATTCGCAGTGATTTATTTAGACCAATGCAATCGCTTTCAAATAATCCTCCCTCCACCATTTTTAAATGATTTTCAGTTCCTGTGTGATTGTCATGTGTCTCTGCCTGCAGCAGCTCGAGCGGAACCCGCTCCTCATCACAGTCTACGTGTAGACCCGAGGAAATATCTCGCACAGGACGGGCTTTTGTCAAAACATCGCTTTCGTATAAAAGGGCATGTTTACCCCATTTGACTTTTTTAACGCGACGAGAGATGCTGAAGCGGGATTGATTGTTAGCCTCGCTCAAGGGAGCTGTCCAGCATGAGGTGCTGATCGGCGGCCTGGCAGAACGATGGCGACGGGGAAGTGGCTTCTCTACACGGGGCTCTGTCTGTCTCTCGTCGCCTTGTGTTTCCTGACAGTCGCAATCTCTTCCGACCACTGGTACGAAACGGACGCGAGGAGATACAAGGAGCGCTGCCGAACTTTCTCGAACCGCAGGAGCGACCCGGGCTTCATTTACATCCCCACCCACAGCCTTCCTCTGCGAGCCAGCCGAGCGAGTCTGGACCGATGGGAAGACCGACTGCTGCTCACTAGAAACCGGCGGCAGCTGTTCGCCATGAGCGCGGCGGATGAGTGCAGCAGACGCTACAATTCAACCAACATGGGGCTCTGGAGCAAATGCTACAGGGTGGGATTTGACCCAGACGTCGAAGACCTCATCAAGAATGGTAAAAAAAATACTCTTGAGGCTTATTGATGCAAAGCAAATACTGAAATAACAAAAACCCACGAATGCTATTTCATAAGCTTGACTGCTTGTATATCAAGGCCTATAGGGATGCATCGGAGCAATATGCATTTTCAGTCGTAGTCATTTGCATATCCGTATAAACAGGCATGTTTATTTTCTAAATATTGGATTGTAGGAGCAAGGGACTTCCAAATATCTTGGTTTTACACAATCATTTGGTTCCACTTCATTAAAATAGTTCTTAGTTAGACCAGTGGTTCTCATACTTGGTCCTACAGTAGCCTACCTGAGCATAGCATATTGGATGTTTACCTTATTACAAACGTTAATATATTTCATCAGCTCTGCAGAAGCTCTGAGACTTGAACATGGTGTGCTAGGGTACTCCGGGCTTGGATTGAGACGCTAATTTAGATTATGAGCAATACTCACTCCACCATCTGTGTAGTTTGCTCATCTAAATGTGATATCCGTATGCACAAACCTTGACTATCGGGGCCCACCTTACATCATGTTGATCATCTTCTTTTGATAATCACACTAAGTCTGGATGCAAATGCTAATGATTTTCTTATTTTTTGCAGGAACTATCGAGCGTTGCTCCTTTATAAAGTACTATTACTCCTCCTCTGCAGTGGCGCGAAAGGATCTCTCCTATAACATCACTAAGGCTATCCAGCAAGATGATTGGCATGCTCTGCGTAAGTGGGAGATGCTCCTTCCAGTCTTCATAAGTGCTGTCATGGGCCCTCTTGAAAAGGGCTCCTCACTAAGGTCCTCTGAAATGTAGTGCAGTGTTGCTGGAGGCACTTGAACAGTACGCATTTTTCAAACACACATGAATAAACTCTTGAGAGTACTAGACAAGACTCTAAAACCTGAAATGAATGGGTCAGATAAGGGAGTTATCCACAATGTGCTCTGTTTTGGTGTTCCACCAGAAACAGGCTTGGGAAATACTGATGTGGAGTACTAGGTCCTAAGTTGCAGTCACGTTCAAGTAATTTCAGCAAAATCCACTGATAACCCAACACTATCTCATCACCAATTCATAACTTTTTGATTTAGTGGCTCATTCGTAAGAGTTTGGACCATCTCATTTAAACATTTTAGTACATTTTGCTCATACTTCAATGACAGTTGGGTTTAGGGGTGATCTTTGATGGCATGCCTCTATACGACTTATACAAATTAACCAGTAAACTGACAAAACCTAAAATAATTGGGATAATTGGGCTGGGAAATCCTATTTTCAAAAAAGTAGAACGTCCTCACAACTTTTTGTTTCATCAATCTTAAATGTGTAAATAGCGAACAAAGGGTTTTGCTCAATTTTACTATGGTACCATAATTGTGACCACACACCTGGTATCTATGTTTTTCTCGACTGTCACTATCCTGTATATATATTGCCTGTCAAAAAGTGTGTTTGACAGAACGATAACCAAAACATACTTGGAGCCAATCAACAATAAGGGGCAAATCTAGTTGCAATCGCAGAGATATCAAAAAGGGGATAAGGTCCTGTTGGGGTATGGGCATGTTTGCTTTGGTGCTTTTAAATATCAACATTGTTTAGCAAAAAGTGTTTAGTGCACCTTTAAACAGCTAAACCAGGTAATTGGGGTCTTTAGACTTATTATAAACTTTTTTGCAAGGTTATTAAACATTACCTGGCAAAAGTCTTGACTTCTAGTTGATCATTTGGTATTAAATGTGGCTTATATGATTGCAAAGGCCTCTAGAATATGTTTATTTACCAAAATAAAAAAGATCATGTCTTGATTTTGAATAATATAATTAAAACTGTTAGGTCTCATTTTTTTTAAACAAAAGTTTTGTCACTTAACAGAAATAATGTACAGTATAGAATATAAAGTCATGGTGCAGTGGAGAAACATTTAATATTGTGTATGGCTCCCATGAGCTTGGAGGACTGCATCTCTGCAATGACTCAAATAGTTTATTGCAGGACTCCCCGTGTTCATCAAGATTCTTTCAATAATGTTTAAATCTGGTGACTGGGCTGGCCAATCCTAGAGCACCTTGACCGTCTTTGCTTTCAGGAACTTTGAAGTATGAGGAGCGCTATCCTGCTGACGAATTTGCTCTCCTGTGGTTTGTAATGTATTGGGCAGCACAAATGTCTTGATTCCTCAGGCTGTTGACATCTACCCTGCAGATTTCTCGCATGCCCCCAGACTGAATGTAAGCATTGATTGATTTCTGTGAGAATCTTGGGTCCAGCAGGTTCTAAAAGGTTTTCTTCAGTATTTGTGATGATTGGGATGCAGTTCAACAGATGATTCATCTGAAAAATCTACCTTCAGCCACTTTTCCGAAAGATCAACTAGAAGTCTAGTTATTATTTGTTGCTTACAACTGGGGTCGACAACAAGACTTTTGTCAGGTAGTGTAGCTGGTTGGATATAATTGTTGGCACATGCTATCACCCCAGGTGCAGGAATGGACAACTCAACCTTAAGAGTTACTGGGTTACATAAGAAATTGTCTCTAGCATATAGAGGCCCTGTAGAGTTTAAAGCAGCATTACCTAATAATGTGCCTGGAGTTGCAACATTCTTTCAGAGTTGAGTTGGTAGAAACTAATCACGGTCCTTAGGATCACAAGAAACCTTCGGGCAGGTGTGCTGGAGCAGGTAGAAGCTCATCTTGGCAATAAGGTACTCCTTCAGAACCGTTAGTAATTTGATGTTTCCTTCCCCAGATTTGCGTCGGATGACAGCTGGCTTCATGGGCATGGCTCTATCCATTATTCTCTTTGGCTGGACCATTGGCCTTTTAGGATGTTGTTGGGAGCAAGGCCTCATGCATTACGTTGCCGGTCTACTCTTTCTAATGGGAGGTATGTGTATTATTTGAAATGGCTGCTTAACCGTTCCCCATATATTTGCTCTCTTAAGTTTTTAGAGCCTTTGAATATCTACTAACTAGTATCATGTCCCACTACAGGTACCTTCTGCATCATCTCTCTTTGCACCTGTGTGGCCGGAATCAACTTCGAATTGTCTCGCTACCCACGTTATCTCTTCAGCCTCCCAGATGATATAAGCCATGGTTACGGCTGGTCCATGTTTAGTGCCTGGGGAGGGCTGGGACTAACCCTCATTGCTGGGTTCTTCTGTACTCTGGCACCTTCGATTCAGCCTCCACCACCAACCCGTACCTCCTGTCCCAAGTCTCGTATGGAGAACGGAACAGTGTGTTAAAGAGTCACGTTAGGAGACTGACATGAACTTGTGTATAAACTTTGTCATGGGTTTTAAAAGCATGGAGCTGTTGAAAGACTCAAAGGTCACAATCCATGGCGGTTGGGACTCTCGTTTGATGTGCCGAATGATGGATCTCTGTTATAAAAGCACATTTGTACAGTTGTATAAAAGCTTTCATCCTGACATGAGTAGGGCATGTCCTTGGTGAAGCGGTTGTTGGTGTTCGTCTTTGTTCAATAGGCCGTGTTTGAAATTCAAGACAAATTCACAGTTTCCTAGACCTTTTCACTGTACAAGTACCATGAATTTCATTAAGTGCTGTAGTTGTTTTTAATGTCAATAAGTTCATCATTGGACAATAAAAAGCCTCATGTAAGAAAACGATCCTGGTGTCCTACACATGTTGAGAAAAACAAAAGAGAATCAAACAGAGGCACTGAATACTTATGTTTATTTAAGATTTCATTGTTCCAGACCAGCAGAAAAGGGGTCAATTTTTTTCTTTTAGCGCTTTTATTTTGTATGATCTCAGCAGCATGTTAAACCCAAATGTTGGTCTACATTGATTTGTTTTTCTTCCTGAATGAATGAGTGATTGCGTTTGATAAATACTGTTAAGTATGGCCACACAGATGAGAAAGAAAATAGAGTAGAAATTAATTGTAGGCCTTGGAATGGCGGCATGTTAGTGTGTGTGTGTGTGTTTGCCGTCACGTTTTTGACACTCGTTTTCTGCAATCATGCCTTGACACTTCTTCTTATTACCATCACCATCCTTCCCAAGGTTCCAGACCCAATTCCTGATTCATACCTTGTATGAATGGCTTATTTTATCGGCAAGCCAATAAACACTTCCACAGTGGTCTTGCTGTCCCTCTCTTTAAAGGAATGAGATTAGCATAGTCATCCTGAAGCGGCTTGTCAAGCCTCACATCACCATACTAACCCAAAGATGCTTTAGACAAAGCCCTGAATCCAAAAGAGCTCCTCTTTAAGATTAAGAAGGAACTCTGATTAATGGAGTTCTTTCCAAGGAGGATTGACCTCTCAAACATCTTACCTGATGGTGAGACCTAACATTCAGGAAGTGTAAAAATTCACAGTATAAATTAGTCTGTACCTTGGATGAAGAAGTGATGCCAATCAGAAGCATTATTTGTTTAGGCATATTCCGTTTAGCCATTATTAGTCGCGTGTCACATCAGTGCTGCTCATGGTTTTCTCTGCACATTTCAGTGTCAGACACTTTAGTCCCCCTCAGAATCATGTGTAAAGATGCATGTATAAGGACCCTCAGTGTCTGTCTGAATCTCCCAGGCATCTTCATTGTAATCATTACCCAGCACTGATGGTGCTCGTCGTACAGAAACGTATGTGTGCCTTCAAAAAAAAAACTGACAGACAAACTAATCCTGATGGGGAAAGGGATGGAGAGGGAAAGGGTAGAAAGAGAAGAGCTTATGTTACGTTATTAATGGAAGGGGTATATTTGCAGTTTCATGTTTGTGATGCAGTTAAATCAAGTGTTGTCTTTAGTGACGGTCAATGCCGGCACTCTGTAGGATGTCTGTGGCCGTCTGCGCTTGGGGTCTGAAGGCTGTCTGAAAGCCTGGAGGTGGAGAGTGGAACTGATTTGGGGTGAGTGTGGGAGGAGGGAGGTAAGGAGCCCAGGCTGCTCTGTGTAAGGAGAGGTGGGCCGCCGCGTCTAGGAGACCAGTGTGTGGGGGCTGTGGAAGTGCGCTGGAACTGGGTGGGCCGTCCATCTCTGTGAGTGCCTGCAGAGACTTGAGCCAGTGTGGGGGATTGTCATCCTGGAGACAGTCCAAACTGTTCCCTGTGGATGCCGGAATACCTGGAGATTGAAAACAGACATGAATGAGTACCTGAATGACTGGGTGAAGGTTGACTATGAGGGTTTATAAAACAAACCGCACCTGTGATGATGGCGGGGTCCATCCAACTGGCCGTACTGTCCCAACTGAGGCTGTGCGAGATTCCAGCCGAGCCTATTGGCACCCCGATGTGATTCACACTGGAAGTGGAGGAAGAGGACGAGGAAGAGGTAGAGTTCGGGAGGCCTCCGAAGTTGATGTTGATATTTGGTAGGAGTGCACGTAGTCCATCCTGCCACTCTTTCACATTAATGCTTTCCACAGAGCCGTTGTTTTCTAGAAGAGCACATTTGAGTTTAATATCTTGTACCTTTACACCATGCCTAAAAGAAACTGGCATTTGAAAATCATCTGCTTTTTCCAATCTAATCTAGAGCTGCACAATTAATCAAAAAAAAAGATCGCAATCTCGCTTCGACCCTACATGCGACGTTAATGAAACTTTTCTACATTCAACCAATTATATATCAGGTTAGGAGAGAAGCATACAGGCGGACACACAAGTTTTCATATTGTTTTATAAACATTACTCAGCAACATGGACACCTCCAAATGGTGTTAAAAGTGTCACATGCTGTTTTTATAAGGTTAAATTCACCCTACATGTAATTTCTGTCTTAATGTAATGATGTATTCGAGGCTGCGAAATCACACATGAGCTGACACATATTTTGTTTACAACCGAGAGGACAAAAGCGCGGTCGCGAATGTCTAGTTTAGTAAACAGAACCTACATAGGCTGTGAATAACTGAGTTTGTTGCAGAGTGATCATTTGGGAACCGCGCAGGAAATATGATTCGCATGTATGCTTTTTTCCGTGATGGAGGCAGCACTCGACAGTAAAAGTAAAACCGGCATGTACATCATTTAAATGATCATATCACATTTTAGAGTTATGATTACAATAAACATTTGATGTTGTTTTTCTTTCATAACAAAGACAAAGTGTTGTGCATGACAAAAAATGTTTAAAAGTGTCAGTATAACTATTCTAGTCTATATAATGTTGATCTTAATGCAAGAGGGAATCTGATAATGACGAATGTCTGATTTTACCAGTGGAACAAAATGGTCTAATAATGTTGTCAATGACAAAATACATACACATGTCTTAAACACAGTAATTCAACTTCAGAATTATAAATAGTTGTATTTAGTCGTCATTCATTTAGTCATTTTCTTGTCGGCTTAGTCCCTTTATTAATCCGGGGTCGCCACAGCGGAATGAACCGCCAACTTATCCAGCAAGTTTTTACGCAGCGGATGCCCTTCCAGCCGCAACCCATCTCTGGGAAACATCCACACACACACATTCACACACACTCATACGCTACAGACATTTTAGCCTACCCAATTCACCTGTACCACATGTCTTTGGATTGTGGGGGAAACCGGAGCACCCGAAGGAAACCCACGCGAAGGCAGGGAGAACATGCAAACTCCACACAGAAACACCAACTGAGCTGAAGTTCGAACCAGCAACCTTCTTGCTATGAGGCGACAGCACTACCTACTGTGCCACTGCCTCGCCTTTAGTCATCATTTTACTGTAAATTAAGGACCAGGATAAATTTAAGGTCTAGTCAAGTCCACCATTCCAAGTCTATAAAAAAAATGTAGCATTTTAACCAACATTAAACCTACACATAGTAATAATGTAATATTACTGTTGTTTTACTAAATATTTGAGAATTAATAATAATAGCCAACTCATATTAACCTTTATTTTACATTTACAGATACAAGAGAAAACCATGATCTTCATTTTAAGCAAAAAAGCCCTAATCTAATATTTATTCAAGTGCAAATAATGATGAAAAATAACAAATAAAAGGCTTTTTTTTTTTGTTATTCTGAATGATAACATCAGAAAGGCGAATTATAATTGCAGATTTAGGCTTCAATCACACTGAACATATTTTTCTGCAGTTAGAGACACTTTTTAAAACTTTTTTTTTTTTTTTCTATTAACAGCAACGTTTTGTACACTGTATGGAGCCGATCACACCGAACGCGCTTATTGCATTGAGAGGCACCTTTTTTGAATGATTAATTAACGGCCATCTTATGTACCCTGCGCAACTTGCGTTTTAACTGCCTGCTGTGCCTTGAGTTTTTGCTGTTGCGCGCTGTGCACTCAAAGTTGGAAAAAGTTACTGAGTAGAAAATGCGGTTACATCAGTCGCATCTTTTTCATTCTCCAATCAAATGAAAGCAGAGGCGGGGTCTCTATTGAGGTGCCTGCAGTGTTTTGTGTTGTCAAGACAACTACAGAGAATTTTGAAGATGGAGGAGAGACTTGTGGCAGCTGTTTTAAGTAAACCGGTGCTGTATGACTCACAAATCTTGAATTTCTACAATATTATTAAATATTACAATTATAACAATATCAACAGCAACACTAGTGCACAATACTCCACTGATTCAGTCATTGCCTAGCAACTTAAAGCGCTCTGTGTGCCTGGAAGGTCAACTCTTGCTAGAAAAAACACCCAACGTCCACCACCAAGACCACTGATACAGTAGTTGCCTAGCAACATAAAATGCACAACACACTGCTCTTTTAAAACCAACAAAAAGGCAATGTGGTGTGCCTTACATATTCATAACCAAATAGTGCGGTCGGTGTGCTCGGCCAACAGGAGCCACTTCAGAAGCCAAATATTGCTTTCTCCGGTAACGACTGTAATCAAAGAAGCAATCAAAGACGTCTCAAATGTTGGTTTATGATAAATAGAAAAGACTAAATGAAAATGGCATTGACAATTTTCTGAAGACAATTAGTCATTTTCTAAGACACGTTCATATTTGGAAAATTTATGAGAGGTGGTTTGTTTTGATTTTATGGCAGCTTCAATGTATTTCAAGTAACTTAATGTTTGAGAAACAGGGTTGATATTTGTATCACTAGACTACAACAGACCAGGTGTTTTAGGATCCACACAGGTGTTTCACAACAAACTGGAGAGTACAAGACAGATGCATCCCCTAACCTGATATAGGAATCCCCCCAAGACCGGTGCTGTGGTGCTGGGCTGGCATGCTCAGGTCTAAGAAATGGCTGTGTGCAGCTGCGGTGGCCGTGTGGTTTAAGTGTGTGAGGTTATTGCGGGTAGGAATGCCCATCCAGGGGTGACGTGCGGCCATGTGTTGGGGTAGACTGAAGGAGTTATAGAGGCCTCTGTGCTGGAGATGAGGAAAGCGCTGTTGGCCATTGGGGAGGCCGGTCTGATGAGAGGAGGGGTTGGGGGAGAGGGGGGAATGCTCCTGGACTGACAGCTCTTTCTCTATGAGGTCGGCCAGAGCCTTCCGTGTGACGTCAAATGGGTCAAAGCCAAGATCATCGTCCTGCTGCTGCTGCTTGGCTGAGGAGCCAAAACCAAAGGCTGCCTGCCAATCAGTTGAGGACGACACAGGGATAGTTTCTGCAACAAAGAAGAAAGGTCGGTGGGTTTTTCCACATACTGAAATCTTATTGGTTCAAAATTCAATTCCAAATGTGCCTACCTGAGGTGAAAAGGCTCTGTGGTTCTGGAGTCATGGGCCAATCGGAGGCTCCCTGTGGTGAATTGGAAAAGGGGGGCAGGCCGCTGGGGATGGGGTTGGGATGTCTGAAATTGCTGTTGTCTGAGAAAAGAGATTGAGACTCTGCTGCAGCCCCCTCAAAGGGTGACCGTGCTGTGAGTTCAGCCACACTGATGGGCACGACGAGGCTGGGTTTAGTAAGGCCAGGTGGAGGAGAAGGGGAATCGCTACTGGATGTCTATCAAATCAAATACAGACAGACAGATCATTAAAAAAATGCATAAGAACTAATTCAAGGTGTGATCACACTTAGTAGGTGTGGTTCAACTGGTGGGATTGCTGTTAGTGTAGTTAATTTGAATAAGTGTAAAATCCATTCAAACACCAAGCAAGTGGACTGAAAGCTCTGAAAAGATAAGTCTCAGTTTGTATTCATACAAACATGCGTGCAGTTTCACAAATTTGAACGCAGCACATTGCAAAGTAAAATGACTTGTTTTAGTCACAAGTAATTGTGTAACGGATCACAAATTTCATGGTTCACATTACACAAGGTCACAAGTTACAGATCAATACAGATTTTAGCTTGGGCTGTTTTGACTTCTTCACATTTTATACACCTACCAGAAGTCAAAATTATAGACATACAGCAAACACATTTAGGCTCAATCCCAATTCAAATCCAAAGCTCTCATTTTGCACATTCATGTGAAGGGGTAGGGCTGTCCCAATTCTCTTTAGCTTAAAGGCGTAGCGCTAAGGGGAAGAACTAGATAGCCCTTTAAGCTGAGATTTTTCAGGACCACAATCGAAACCAAGGAGTGAGAAAATTCCCCAGAATACACCAGCTGCAACGGCAGCATGGCGATGTGGAAATTAGTATTTCTTGTTATTATTACGAAATTTTACAACAAACAAGCATATGTTTTAATACATTCATAACCACATTCGTGTTTTACCATTATGCTTAAAAAAACAGCTGAAATAAAACACTAAAGTTGGCCATCTATAATCCATAATAATAACTCCTGTATAGTAGTCTCACAACATACTTTCACATATGTCACTCGATGACACTCGAATACTCTGTCAGAAAAGTCTAGTGGCTGAGAATAAGCTTTTTACAGTTTCTGCTATAATGTTTTTGTTATTTTTAGTGTGTTTACATAGATAAATATGGCCAGGGTTTAAATTAAATTGATTTCCTGAAGATAAATACAAAAAAATAGTGCAACTGGAATAACTACAGCAGTCGTGATCGTCTGATCTCATATGAAGCAAGAGATCGCGATCGCATATGATGATGTGTGCTGGTGTTGTAGTGCTGTCCCATTTCTTAAGCCTAGTTCACACTACAGGATTTTAAACATCAGCAGATCGCTGTGCCGTTCACAATACATGACTTGACTTTGTGTCTTTTAATCTCTGTGGTGTTCACACTACGCAACACTCTGTGAATGATCCACAAGAGGGGGGTCACACACTACATGATCTGACAACAACTCATTCCCCAACAGCTCATTCAAGCTACCAAACCACAGCCAATGAAATTTTGAGGGAGGAGTCGTCAGAAAAAGCTGAACACTATTGGCTGCTTGTGTGCTGATTACATCACTGACAGCATTTCAAGCTTTGGAGAAAGCATTTAAAAACATCGTCAAATCAGCTGATTTATGAGCGGATTAATCACTCATCTGCAAGATTCAAGTGGATAGATACACAGAGAGTTTTTAATTTTTGTAATTGTATAACTCTTTGAAATAAAACTAACAAATAACACCCTGCCACTTTCTAACTATCAGTGTATTTCTTTCTGACATTGTTATTTTTTTTATTACAAAACTGAGCATTTCTGCCTTAAATTGCCATATTGGTCAAAATGACTGCATGCATGTCTGATACTTTTCACTGTGACTTTAAATATGTGTGCATTTTTTTTGCCTAGCAACTTCCTGCTAACATAAACAAAACTTTCTGATGGCAAAAACAATAATTTACTTCAGATATCTTTCAAAACAGCATATTCTGTGGCGTGAAATAGCTCCTGTTTGAAAGTGAAAATGAAAGCCAAGACCTTTAAGTGTTTTAGTATCTTAACTAAATATTTAAAGGCTGTATTAGCAAAAAAAATGATATTTTTAGGGTAATGGTGTCATTAAATATGATGCCAGACATTGAAAGCTTAATTTTAATATCTCAATAATAGCTTTGAATGTAAATATGTTGTGACAGTATGGCGTTTTATATGAGAACAGTCAGAATGAGCAGTATAATTCTAATAGTTACAGAATTCTAGTTCCACTGTTAATATAGCCTACCCTCATGTCTGCGTTAACACCATACACAGAATGAAGCGAGTGCACCGATGCCCATTCTGACCAATCACAGATGTTTCTGCTGAGCTCCTGAGCACACAGGCATTCAGCTCATGCTGATATGCTCTCTCATTGGCTGCCGCTCGTCACTACATCGGACCACACGTGGGGTTGAGTCGGCCGACTGCTCCGGAATATTTAGCATGCTAAATGTTGGATAACCGTCTGCGAGGTGTCGGCGACGCGTCAGCGAGCCTCGTTGATGCGTTGTTTAGTAGTTCACACATAAAGAGCGGCGAGCGCCGTTCACCCGCAGATTTCTTCCCGATCACAGCCCGATCTGTCGGCGAGCTCGTTAACTTCCAAATCGGGCTCAAATCAGGCTTAAAATCCTCTAGTGTGAACCAGGCATTAGGGGTAAATTTGGAAGCCCTTTCCCTTCACACTCTGTTTCAAGGGCCAAGAAGTAGGCGTACAAAAATAGAATTGGGATTGGGCCTTAGCCTAGCATTTTTAGATGCATCTTATTTTCCATCCTAAAATATACATCATGAAAGCAATTTTGTTTGTTTTGTGTCTTTAGCTTCAGCCTTAAAAATGACAGTGTAAACAATTTTATTCTAGTCTAAACACCAAACTACAAGTGAGAACATACCTTTACAGACTGAACATTTTAAGCACTTACCTGTGATATATTTTCCCCGTTTCCTATACTTATGGGTTCTGATGGTTTGTCAATCGGACTGAAACGAAACAGAGCGATAAGCATGCATCAATGCACTTATACATTCAACAAAGAAAAATAATTATTAGGAGTCACTTGCTGTAAGTTAACAGATATTGCTGTACCTGGTAGGCTCTAAGGCTGATGGGAAGGGTGGGAGGCCTGTGTTTTGCTCTGTTCCCTGTTCAAGGTCTGGTTCGTCTGGAGTCATGTGATCGGAGTCTGTTAGGCAGTCTAATAGAGGAGGAGACTTACGATGCTCTGTGGTTAAACCGTTCACCATTTTCCCATAATTCTGTAATGAGGGCCATCCTTCTTTATTGGTGCTATTGGGCCTGGAAATGAAATCATTTGAAAGATAGAAAATATAATCAGGCTAAACATTAAGACAATACAATAACTGAAAAATAAGGGTGTCTAATTGAGCATGTGAGATTAAGAAAAAACAAAAAACAAAAACACACCGCTGAGTGGAATTGGATTTGCTCTTTGACTTCTCCCCACATGTTGAGGTTAGTAAAAAGGTGGGGTTTGCTTTGTAAAGGTCTTGGAGTAACTTTTGTTCATATTCTTGATGTTTCCCAGCCTGACAAAAACAATACATAGTAGTTAAACAACAAAATCAGACATACAAATTCAATTTCTGCTTTGAAGTTATCAGGTGTAAACATGCACCCTCACCTGCATTTCTTCTTTTGTAAAACTAGCTGCCTCATCGCCAAGTTCATGTAAATACATGCAGTCTGGTTTAGGACACTGCATGCTTTTAAGAAAGTAGCTGCAGTACTTTGTTGTACCTAATGAAGCCTTCAAACAAAGCAAGAGACACAATGACTATCAACATCAAAAGGTGACAGAATGATCAAATAAATATTGATCACTAACATAATAAACAGAGCTCCAGAATAATGTCTACAGATGTATCGTGTAATATTAATAATTTGACAGAATCGAGAGCTTGAATTGTGGGATGCAGATGTAAATTCGCACAGATTGGGCAGATTTTAACAATCTCTACGTTTGTGGATCATGACAACCAAAAGAACTACATGACCATGATTTAAGTAGCGTCTATATGGTTTCTAAATGTATTTTTTTATTTAAAATAAAAATAAAATGTCAAGTATAAATCAGGGCTATTATTGTTGACTAAAACCTTTTATAACCACACACACAACTCTTAACTCTGAAAACTAGGCTGACTCAGTTTCAATTTACTAGATCTTCTATGTTAAGCTGCTTTGACACAACCTACATTATAAAAGCACTATAGAAATAAAGATGAATTTAATTTATTTATACATATTTTTAATCATTTTAACTCAAAATGAATAATGTATTTAGCTATGTATTTACATAATAACGTAGCTAAGCTGGCAAGACATTTCACATTTTTTTATTTAACCTAAAACTAAAATAACTACACTAAAATAATAACCAAAAATGTATCAAAACAAATAGACTCCAGTTGTGTTCTGCTACACATTTAAAATGTCTAAATAATAATAACATAATAGAATATCCTGCATTTCTACCATATTATCATGTTTACAGTTACACTGCTACTAGCAACCCATAGTAAATGTTGATCAATAGTGGTCTGAAACAAGGCTTCTCTTGTTTTTCTGCATCAGTGCTGCGGAGAATGTCATAGACATTAATCTCACTTCAAACTTTTTTTAATCTAATTTAATCCTTTTATATATATATATAAAAAAATTATCTTAATCTGACATTAGCGGTTTGTGACTGGAACCATGTGGTAAACTCAAGATTAGTCAGCAATTAAACATTCGCAGTTAGCTTAAAATTGGTTCAAACAAGTCGAGTACTGCTGCTTTGTTCTCCTTCAGATGTTTAATGTTTTACAGATGCAACAGACAAGGCACATTGCTAGTAGCACCAGTTAAAACCGCCAACAAAATGAACAAAAATTGCATAATACATCCATTTACTTGCTGTCTGGAGCCCTGACGTGAAAATACTGTGTAAACAGATCAAATTCTGATGACTTAGCACTTACCTTGAGCGTTCTACCGTCCACTATGACATTGTTTACACATTGTATTGCTCTAAGGGCATCCTCTGAACGAATGTAAGTTACATAGGCACTAGCACTAGGACCCTGTGGAGACAAAAAAAATAATAAAAAATACAAACGTTTTCGTAACTCGACTGTTTTGCTGTAGCCTAAAGGCTGGTTTATTTTTTTGCATCGAGTGATCAGCGTGATCCACAGTGCATACCAAGCCGACCAATCACAGAGCTTGCGCTACATGTTGTTTTGACGTGTAGTTACTTATCTTGAACACGGTGAGGGAAATGCGTGAGAAGCGTACAAATACACTTGATGCAGAAGTATAAATCAGCCTTTAAGATAATAGTTTAACCCCCAAAATGTTATTCTGTCATCATTTACTCTTGTTTTTTTTAACTCATTTGATTGTTCCAAATCCCGTTTAAATTTGTTTTTTCTCTTAAACACAAATGAAGATTTACTGAAGAATGTTGGAATAAAACAGCCATTGACACTTCCATATGCTATGCAAGTCAATGGCTGTTTTCCCCCAACATTCTTCAGAATATCTGGCAAGTGTTCAAAAGAAAAAATAAATTCAGAAAAGTTTAGAACCATTTTAATTCGAGAAAGTCTTCGAGGAACACTTCACTTCACTTTTTTTTTTTTTCATATAAATTTTCAACTCTCAGTTGAATTTCACCATTTTTTAATCTATTTAGCCAATCTCGGAATCTGGTAGGAGAACTTTTAGCTTAGCTTAGCATAAATCATTGAATCGGGTTAGACCGTTGTGAAAATCACAAATTTGATAAATCTCCTACTTAAAGCTTAAGTTTTCAGTAGTACATCACAACATTACTTCACCTGCTACAGCCATGGTAGATTTTGCAGCCAAAAGTTACTTGATTTTTTATGTCAAAATGAGAGTATAGTTCCTAGCCATATCAGACTAGGAAAAAAGCAACAACAAAAAAATCCCATCATTTTAACACAAAAGACTTTAGCTTTTTTTTTTTTTTTTTATTTATCAAGTGTTTTTTTAGCATGCTAATGGTCTAATTCGAATGAATGATTTATGCTAAGCTAAAAGTACTCCTGCCAGTGGTAAAACTCAAATGTTTAACTCTATCAGCAAAAAAGTGGAGGGTTCCTTTAATGAGTTGTGTGCATCAGGCTAGCAAAAAGGAGAGCTTTTCCTACCTGTGAACCTGCATATGACGTGCTGTTATTGATGACCACTTTATGAATTTTTCCAAACTTGCCAAAATACTCTGGACGCTTTAGAACCTAAGAAACGATTAAGAGAGAGAGAGAGAGAGATTATGGAGGTGAATTATTGCATGAATGACAAAACAGACACAACGGTGAGGTTCGGCCACTTATCACACAATCAAAGTGTGAAATCACTCTGAGGGAGGGAATTTCCTATTTTTCAGCAAATCGCAAACGACTCACTGATGAAAACACTATTTTTGAGCTATTCTTTTTTACCTACCACAGAAAGTGACACTATTTACAGATATGATTTAGGTGTTTAGTAACTTTAATAAACATACACAGTGATTAAATGTATTATTGTTAAAACAGTGACATGAAAAGTTATTCATTAACATTAAATTTGTTTTAAAAAAAAATAAAAAATTTAAATAAATTTAATTCTGGTTTTAATTTGCACTAAAAGTAAGCAACACAACAGGATTTGTAATCAGTAATTAACATTTATAATAGCAAAACATTTCTTAGCATCAAATCTGCATATCAGAATTTATTCAAAAAGAAAATAGCAAGAAAAACAGCAAAAAAGTTTGTTTAATCAAATAAATTCAAATTTGCTGATAATAATAGGCTTCATTAAAAGTAATTTGTTATTTGGCAGTTCTTCATAAAACAAATTTGATGATTTGTCTTTTTTTGGAAAATATTAATTCAACTTTTTTTAATATATTACATTGCATACATAGCGCTGGGCAAAACATAATAGCTATTATGTACATAAAAATACATGCATACAGATATTTAATTTTTTTTTATATTTAGATATAAAACATATATGTATATTATACAAATTATAAATAAATTTAAATATCTGTAACAAAATTATTTAGTATAGTTTGTTTCTTTGTATGTGTGTGTATTACATATACGTGTGAGTGTATAATAAAACTGCTTTTATTCTTGCGTAATTAAAACAAGTAAGATTTTTTTTCCAGAAGAAAAAAATATTATCATGTGTGAATAAAATGGAAGACAGTGGAAATGCACTAATTAAATGTTACACTATTTAGTCAGTGACTTTAGCCCCTCGAAACTATTAATACAGAACATTTTCATTATCCAAAATATCTGTGCATTTTTCATTCAGTTGCATTCACATAACTCTCAAACACATTCAAATAAAAACAGACCTTAGAAATCATTTGAGTAAACATCATTATATAGCAAAAACAAAAGTAAGTAGTAAGTTTTTTGAGTGGTCACCTCTGCATCAGCAAGCCTTTGAGAAAGCCCTACAACGAACACCAGGTTCCGCTGCACCACACGGACGCTGGCCAGATGCTTGCGGTTCTCCGTCACCTTCTGCTTCTTCTCGTTCAGCTTCTGCTTCTTCTCGTTCTTTATCCTCTGAATCTCCTCTTGTGACAGTGGCTTGTATACTGCAGGATCCTCCGGGTAAGGCTACAGAACACAGAGAGCTGGTTACCTCAACTGAACCCTATCCTCCTGCTTAAACAACTCTGCAAATAGGTCAAGTTTTCAGGCTGAGACTTTCCTATTTAGTCAAATGATATACAGCACTTTTAGACTTGGGAAGAACAGTATGAAAAGAAAGTGGCATAACAATGCTTTAAACAGAATTTTGGAAAAACAAATTCCAAAACAATTCCTATAATTTTAGGTTAAAATTGGTGATCTTTGGTCATTGATCGCTGACTATTGGTCATTGCGATCAAAATTTTCCTTTGATGAATTCCTGGAAGTCTTTCAGATTTCTAACACTGTCCTGCAGTGAAATCTTTCACGATGAGCATCAAATCAAAATTCAATAGAAGCACAGAACTTCTCAGGGAAATGTTGAAGCTTTAAATCTGGTACATAAGGAGTACAATAACAAATTCTACAGATTGTTTATGTTTGCTATAAGGCACAGGTGTCAAACTCTGTTCCAAAAGGGCCGCAGCTCTGCACAGTTTAGTTCCAACCCTAATTAAACACGCCTGATCAAACTAATTGAGTCCTTCAGGCTTGTTTGAAACCTACAGGTAAGTGTGTTGGAGCAGGGTTGGAACTAAACTGTGCAGGGCTTCGGCCCTCCAGGAATTGAGTTTGACACCCCTGCTATAAGGAATCACTAGGCACACATAGAATCTGCACGCTCAGAAATTTGCAGATTTTGACTCCATCTTTCAAACTATACGTTTAGTGGATGTAAACATGTAAACATGTATTAAACTTTCAGTGGATAAACTAAAAAAACTGACCTGCTGAATCTCTGTTTACCAAATAAGTGGTTTTAAATTGAGTTTGATTGTATTTTTTGTTTTTATGTGCTAGGCTTTTAGCTCCTATTATCCAAAACTATTCCACATAAATCCACAGCTACTTTACAAAATTCTGCACAGATATAGCAAACAAGTATTGGTATCACTTCAGAGCTTGGTTTACTGAATGAGTCTTGGATTGATGACATTGAAGTCCAGAAGAGTCTTGATTGTCATTCAGTCTCATTATGACAAGTCATGTTCGTATGGTCTGACAAGCTACAACCATAAAGGATTATTTAATAATTGCATAACCTGGTTTAAGCTGCTAATTAGATAACATTTGAAGTGAACATAACTGATTTTGTATAATGAACATTTTATTTTAATTTATTGCTTAAAACCACATTGACAATTCGCTAAATTTTGCATCAAGAAAGAGATGTTCATTAAGCAGCAATCTAACATTTTAACTGAATATTTCAAATGAACTTTTTACACATCTTTCAAGCAAAAAAAGGCATTGTTTACATCAAAACATTTTAATTTTAAAACTAAAACAATCCACGTCCACACTGGCGGCATACTTAGCGTTTCTGAAAACCTCTGCGTCCACACTACACAGCTAAAAACGCACGTGACCATGTGTCCTCACATTTTGTTATAAACTTGTCTGAACTTACAAGGAAAGGATGCAAGTCTTAAATTTATGTACCTGACATTAAGAAAAATCCCCAATCAGGTGACTCAAATGTCGGCATCCACACTGACATAGAGCAGCAGAGTTTTAATACCAAAACAGCTTCTTCAGCGTTTCCAAAATGCTTAATTTTTGGGGTCCGAAAACTCTGAGGTAGTGTAACGGAAGGCGTAACTGTAGCAAAACTTAAGCATTTTTAAAACTAAAATTCATTAAATTTATTTATTAAATTAATTTATTGAGTAAACGGGGCCTAAGATATTTGTAATAAAACTTGAGCACTGTTGGCAACTATTTTTAATGGAAAGTTGCTAAGTTCCACCCAAAAAGTACCTCAAAGTTGCTGGATGAGGTCATGCGTAAATTTGCATATAATTGACGTTGTCCCATTCAATTAGTATTCGTTAGAATTATATGTGTTTAATAAAGCGGTATTTATACTCGGACTATAAATTATATACATGATTTTGAGATTAATTTTATTATCATTTGAATGCAGTAAAACAATATTCATACAATGCAGTGTATTCACAGTATAGTCTCTCAGACTTTCTATTTTGACTATTTCACCAGAAATTGGTATGCCACTAAAGCTCTGTGATTGTGAGTAATAGAAGTGCAGAAGAATAAATGGTCAAATTATATTCTTTAAATTTAAAGCAAATGAGCAGATATATGATCGTCATTGTCATTCATGTCTGTGTCACATTTCATTCTCTCTCAGCACAGCTACAGGAGGAGAGAAAAGGTCTGACTGTACTAGAAACACTACACCTCATACCCACTGGACATTTGTCTAAAAGTTTCTAGATTTATTACTAGGCACCGTTTTGAAATAAAGTCACTAACAGGGACTGAAAAGTCGCTAAATCTAGCGGCAACGTTGCTAAGTGGGCAACACTGAACTTCATAGATGCCTGTCATTTCTTTAAACATCCATTCTTTCATCGATACTTTGAGAAAGAGATTGTAAGAATTGATGATAAAGTACAACTTGCTCATCAAGCACAAGCTTGAGCTTTCATTCCCTAGATATTATGAGCTACATGGATGTGGTCAAATCTGTGCTTATATGTGAATAAATATTAAATGAAATGTGTTCATAGAAAGCAGTCATGCCTCTTCAGAAAACTTGGATTTATTTTACTTTGTGAAACTTTTTTCACTAGGTAAATCTCTCAAATTTCATAAAAATATAGACCATTTTAGAGGAAATAAACAATAACAATGGTCTTAACGTATTTCCTTTTTTACATTTTTATTTTTCATAGTTTCTGAAAATCCAAGAAGGTCCACATATCGATAAATAATGATTATGTTAAGTCATGATTGATTTGCCTCTTGTTAGAGTTATGAAATAGTTTGACAAGACAACAAGCAGGAAATGTTCATTGGCCACTGACATTGCCACACTGAAATGGTCTGTGCGCGCGTGCGTGCGTGTGTGTGTGTGTGTGTGTGTTTTAAAGATAAATAAAAGTCTTTTTGGTTTGGAACAAAACATGAGTGTGTGGATGATGGTGACTTTTAAGTTTTAAGGTTTTTTGTTAACTAATATTAAAAATGGAAAAATCCAAATTATATATAACTGACTCTTTGCCCACCATCCCCCCAGCCCTTTATATAATCACATAATCACTGCACTATTTAATATTTGCACAATTAAAATTGTACATATACATTTCACTTCACTGCAGTAATTGATCTTGAATTGTACATACCTACTGCACATATACATGTAGGTTAATAAAACCCATAAATAATGTTTATAGTACATACATCTGTTAGTATATACAACTGTAAATATTACTCATGGTCTTTCTATAATTAGGGGCCCTATCGGAATTCTTCTTCGGTGGCGAAAATTTATGTTGTTATAGGTTTCGGAAGAGAGTGTGGCAAAATGGCTCGAAAGTGCCACCAACGCACATTTGATGGACTGGCTCCGGAGCTACGTACAATCGCACACATACAAAATTAGCACACACATCAAATATTTTAAAACCTACAAAAAAAACAAAAAAAAAGTCTTTTGTTGCACTTTATAGCTTATCCCTATATCCTGCACTTGCTGCTATTGAACTCCTGGTTAGACCTAAACTGCATTTCGTTGCCTTGAACATTTATACTGAAGATAAAGTTGAATCTAACCTAATATAATTGTTACTAATTTAGAAATGTTTTCCTTTAAAAAAAAAATGAATAAAATAAACATCACCAAATTTGTTTTTATATGTTCAGTGTTTACATTCACTACTGTTATACAAATATTAAGTCACATACACTTGACAGGGCAGTCTGTTACAACATTTTTATTCATGGCAGACTAAAGTGTCAATGTTTTTTTTTACACTTCAATTTCAACGACAGCAGCTTCTCTGTGTTGATATTTTTACTCACAGACATGTGACCACAACAGACTGAACAAATAAAATACAGCACTAAAGGTTTCCTTGTCATCGTTTGCCTTTGGCAAGTAGTTTCAAACTCCTTAAACAACCTCTATGTGCTCGTTGTTTAAGGCTAATTCGAAAAAACACCAAAACAATTCACTCTTTGATTTCTCTTTCAGTATATTAGGACAACAACATTTAAGAACAACTGTTTTAGATCTCGCAATTAAACACATAACACATAGATTTTGGTGTGTCAAGAACAACTTCAAATCCTATTTTACTGACTATTCCCAGTTAATTTCTATTAGTGGTTATAGGTATGTGATTTGTTCTGGGGCCTGTTTCAGTAAGGAGGTTCAACCAACTCAAGAGTTTAAACTCCAACTCTGAGTTGACTTACCGAGAGATTAAAAACTCAGAGTTTTCGTTTTCAGAACAGCTGATCTGAGTTAGGTCAATCAAGTCTGAGGAGACTAATTCAGAGTTAAGCACACACATTGTGACTATAAAAAGGCATTATCAAAGGAGCATAGATATTACGAGTCACCATGGCAGGATCTGAAAAAAAGAGATCAGCATTTTTTCCCCAGCTGAACTTATAAGCAGGTCCACATGGAATGTGCGCACAGATTTTTTGCAGATTTCCGCAGATTTTTAGCTCATCATTAATTCTGTTTATTTGAGTAATAGTGTGTAAATCTATAATTATTCGGTTTTTAAATTAATTACAGTAATATAATTGACTAATGTGAAAATGTTCATCTGATTTTTGCACAATGCAGTTTGTACAGTAATATTTTTTTAGTAGTCTTTTAGTAGAGATATTATATGAGAGACTTGCTATGTGATTCTAATTGGATTTGCATTTTAAACATTAAATAAAAGTTATATTATATATTATTTTAAGATATTATTTTTTATTTCACATATTAAAGGTTTTAGTTATAATACTCCCAAAATAATTAAGCAGAAATAGCAAAAAATGTCCGCAGATTCCATCTGGCCCTACTTATAAGGTATAGCAAAATGACTATATATTATAAAAAATAAAAATAAAAAGCAACACCAACGCATTTGTAAAACAGAGACCGTTAGCATGGGAAAACATACATGCTTAAGTTAATGTGTAAGTTTACATTTAAAATATTTAAAGTTCAATTAAAAAATTATGTAATGTGTGACGTTTATTGACTTTTCATTAAAAAAGTGGGGGATTGGCTGTAATTTTAAAGCTATTCCAGATGTAATTACATTAAATTACATAAAATTGTCTCCAGCATAGTTTCTACAACAAATCTGACAAAACAAGAATGCATATAACCTCAACTTAATGTTTAGGGGAAATGTTTAATTTAAGTTAAAAATAAATGTTTTAATAGATGTGCACTTGTGTGTCTGCCTTTTTATTGATCAAGTGGTATTGGTTGATATGACATTTAGAATGTAAGCAGTACTAAAAAAAATAGTTTTTAGAATTAGTGATAATCCCATTAATCAAGTTGCAGTACATTTCCCTGTCGAAGGACAGTGAATTTAAGGTAATTATTTATTTTTTGCAGGATTATCAACGGTAATACTTAAAACTATGGTATTGAATCTAAAAGCCAAAATAGGACAAGCCATTCTCGTAAATTTGTTCTTTGTGTGACTGAAATGTAGGCAATGAATGTCTAAGGCTAATGTGAGAAATACCGCTTTGTCTTTAAAAAATGGAAGGAAACCGACAAAAACTCAAGAGTTTAGAGAATAAAACCTGCTCCTGACCAGGTAAGGTTCACAGAGTAAGTTACCACAGTAACTTACCTCTCTTTCAGAAACAGGCCTTTCTTTCTCCAGTTTGATTAACCTGCCACTTTGAAACGTAAAACCCAGAGTTTCTCTTATTTCAATGTTAACATACTCTGAGTTTTCATTAACCTTCAGAGCTTAGTTTTAGGCCCTTTATACTTTAATATTTGTCACCATTTGAGAATCTACTACAACCTGCTGATCACTTCATTTTTGTTATATTTTTTAAATCCAAAACGAGGGACCTTCAAGTTACCTTTGATTCTAGTCTAACATTTGTTCACTTTAATAATCGCATAAATGCAGCTACATTGCGTCCTAGGATTTTCTCATGTACTATGCTTTGAGAAGCAGCTTTAAAGAATCTTTATAATTATAAAAAAGTATTATTATAAAATAAGTGACAAAGGCTAGCAACATGCATTTCACAAGCAGAAGTCAGCAGAATCATTATAAACTCATGATAAAAAAAAAAAAAAACTCAAACAGTTTCTTACCTTTCTGCAAGCAGGGCAGAGGCCATTCTCATCTGTGCGGATACGATGCCAGCAGAAACGGCAGATTTGGTAGCCGCAGGTGCAGGGGAAGAAGTTGACATCATCAATCTCCAGAGGTTCCATGCACAGTGGGCACTCCATGGGGTCTTCTTTCAGCTCTGGACTGCGGGACATCCTATCACACGGCAAATTGGGAAAAGTCTCTGGCAGGTCGGCCAAGGTGCTGATGAAAACCCAAAGGCAAAAGATAACTCCACTTTACTGTATTACAGCAAGCAGTTAACTCATAGAAGCACAAAACATCAAGCTAACACACATTAGAATAAAGGGATGGGAATAAATTTACAAATACAGTAAGATTCTGACGGCATAAAAACCTCAGATAGAAATATGATGGTTTCATGAAATTGTGGTTACTGCTCTAAAATATGTTCTTTTTAAATATCTGTGTAAAAGACAACATTTTTTTTTTTACCTTTAAACACAATACACTGGTTTCTTTACAATTTAAATGGCATCTTCGGATACCTTTTCTGCTGGAGATACTGTTGTTTATAAATAACTTAAGTAATAAATAAATAAATCTTACATACTGTATACCACAGGAACCGTATGGCAGAACATTTTGGTGGTTTTAAAACCTTGATTTTTCCAAACCGCAGTATACCTTGAAAACAGTTATCATAACTAGTTTCCTGTAACAGTGGAATTAAGGCAACAAATGATATTGTAAATAATGCCCAGCTTCTTGAACAGAATAGTTATTTCACTTCATAAGTCCTAAACGTCACATAAAGGTGCCACAGATGCTACATTTGTTTTTGTTTTTTTTGCTGTATATGAATGTTTGACTATCAGTAGCCATTGACTTGCATTGTCTAAACCACCAAGATCCACAGTTTCAAATCATCTACTGAGGAAACCAAAAAGTCACTTGCATCTCGGAAGGCCTGAGGATGAGTACTTTTAAAGCAATTTTCTTTATTTAGGTGAATATTTAATTCTATTTACGTTACTAGCGTTATAGCAAGTAGGCTGAGCTGTCTATAAACATGCTGATGTATGGAGTTTGCAGAATAGAACCACTGGGTCACATTAGATTCACATTGTACTCACAGTCATGTACAGATACAAACTGCATAAACTACAGTAAAGGTTTCTACACACAACACAAACGCAATTTTACATTTTACAGAACAAAACACTAGCGTTATTCAGTCTCTTTTTTGTTTATGAGTGGCATTTGTATCGCAACAAACCCTTTTAGAAACATCTTAGCTAACATTTAATCATGTGTTTAAATATTCAATTCAGCGAAATCGTATATTAAACTTCACACCAATCTCTCACATTGAGTAAGATTGTTTATAATCGTTGTCCTCCATAGAGCCAATTTCTGCTTCAGAATACCGTTAAATAAACATAAAGCGGATTAAATCCTTGTTTTAATATCTATGGATCGATACGCAAATCCCAATTATTGACATCTCACAACAGTCATGTCTAGCAGCCCGTCATTGGCGCTGAAAGCCGGTCAGGAGCCTCCCACAGCCGGGACAGACTTCAGCTGACGTGCGGCACATAACACAACGCATAAAACACTCGTTTTACTGTTCCACAAGCAACAACACACAAACTTAAAGACGCAAGTAATTTTAAAAACTTATGAAATAACAAAATCGACTTTCCTCACACACATTTTGTCAACAACGAGTGTTTTCAGGACGTTTTTATTTTGCGGCCTACACTCAACTAAAGCCTGCAGCTCTCCTAACTGATCGGCCCGGCGACTAGAGGAGGAACCACCGCCTGTCCACATTTAACTTCACGCTTTACTTAAACCATGAGTTTTACGTTTTAACCATGGAGTTAGTCTGACTTAACACATGTATACACACCTATAGCCGCTGAAGTAGCTACATTCGGGTGCACTGATCGCGATTAAAGCAGTTGTTTTGCAGGGTACTCACTTCTACTAGCTGGTCCTGTATTGCAGGAATTCCACTCAAGTTTAGGCGGGGGTTTCTGCCTCTCAACTGATCAGGTTTACCCGTTTTATAAATTGGATTGAGCACTATTCCACAGCTCAGATGTTCAGTATTGATTAGATGTTTTCCTACTCAGTTTTACTGTTTATTTAGGTAGCAGATTCTTACCACCATCTTACATTGAAATGAGGAGGGAATACAGTAACAGTCGCCTCTCACTGAGTTTGCGCAAGATGCGAAATGCATTATGGGAGATGAAGTTTATTTTTGTTACTGTTGGTTCGCTAACTGATAGAAAGTGTTATCAAACCATTACTTGACACGAGTTACAATATTTTTCATTAAAAGAAGGATTTTATAAAAAAAACATATATATATATATATATATATATATATATATATTCTTTTTTAAAATACCTTGGTTTTATAATCAATTCTTGTATCTTTTTATTTTTAATTATTTTTTTCAAATCTATTTATTGTAGCAGTAAATACAGTACAACGATTCCACTTAAGAGTGTACATTTCTCGTGGCTACACATTTTTCTTTTTTTTTTACAAATTATAAAGTAACAGAAAACAACGAAAAACAAAGTTTTTATCAAATTAAATATATATGTAAATAATAGTAACAATAAAGAGGTAACAAAAAAATATCAATAACTAAATATACATAGGTCAGAGGATTGAGAGGTGGAGTGCAATGGGTCGTAAATTGAAAAATGTTCTGTGGATGGAAATTAGATAATAATATTTTTAAGTTTCTATGAAAACTGGATGGAGCAATGTAATGTAATCAGTCCACCTGGACCAGATATTTCTGAATGTATTAATTTGAAGTCGAAGGGAGAATGTAATTTTTTCCATTACATAAATATTATATACAATCTCTAGCCATTCTTGGGTTGTTGGGGATTCAGGTGTATTGTAATTGCCTTTTTGGCTGTGATTACTAAAATATTATATATATAATATTATATATATTTACTTATTTGGATATCAGAGCCTCCAAAATAAATAACCATTAATTGAAAGGGTAGTGTAACATTAAGTATATTTCCTATTACTCCATGTTCCTCTATCCAAAATTGTATTATTACTGGATATTCTCAAAAAGTAAGCTAGTGATTAGGTTCCTGAGACCCACATTGTCTCCAGCACTTAGTGTTCTTTCCTGTGGCGTATGCTCTTTGTTTTGGCGTGATGAAAAATCTTATTAGACATTTTCATCCAAATTCTCTCTACATATGCGAGTTAGCAAAATTATACTACTTTGACAATTTTTCTTACTTGAGACAAATCTTTATAAACAAACAATATACGAAAAAGTACATCAATAAGTATGCGGTGTGTAATCATAGTAAAGGTGACAAGGCAGATGTTTTCCATATGTTCTGTTCTTGTCAAAAGCTGAGTGACTATTGGATACAGATATTTAAAACATTAAAGGATGCTTTATATCAGCTATAAAACCAACTATTTTTGGTGTACCTGAACACAAAAAATCATTGACAAATAAAGAGAAAAATGTTATTGCCTTCGCTACTTTATTAGCAAGAAGACGAATATTACTTAAGTGGAAATCGGCAGCCTCACCCAAAGCTTCAATGTGGATTTGCAATCTGGTTTTATATTTGAAATGAGAGAAAATTAAATATTTAATAAAGGGATTTGTCCAAAATGTTATGACATGTGATTACATACCTTGAAAACATGAAGCCTCTATCCTTTATCATATCTATACAAGGATATGTAAACAGGTTTAAATGTGATCACTAATATTGTCTGACTCCAGATGTATGTAGAAGACCACTATAAACATGTCAGATTATTGATTTGTATCATCATGTAGGTATTAATTTATTTGAATTATTTATACAATTGATATAATCTAACTGCAAATCAATACAACCATTTTTTTTTTTTTTGCTTTAATTTAACTCGTTTGTTAATTTGTTTTGGTGGCAGGGGTTATTATGGAACAAATACAGCCTTGATTGTACAAAACGTTTGGTTCAAACTTGGAAAAAAAATCTAATTTTATTACACCTAGTTGTCTAAAGGAAGAATAAAACTCAGTTAAACATTGTGTGCTAAAATAAACATAAATAAAAACTACACAGACATTTTCAAGAAAACTAATACAAAAATACAATAACTAAAACATTGGCAAAAAGTTAAATAAATAAATAATCGTTAGAAATTTCTATTTAAAGTGAAGTAATAAAGAAATATTTCAAATATTAATAAAACCTACAACATCTCAGTGATAGTTCAATAGAAATAGTTGTTAATTTGTACATTTAATGTACACCATTTAGTACGAAACTATACTATATTAAACTATACAAAATAATAACCAAAGACCTAAAACTTGTTCCTAAAAACACATTTTAAAAATATTGCATATTTTAAGTGATGCTATTTTTCCTAACTAATAAGTAAAAAACAAAAAATGTTAAATTATAAAATCATCTCATATTTTATTTCCAAAAGCAACCCATAAACATTTTTGACATAATTAAAAATCAGTAATGAAACAAACACTTTAAGTATGTATATATTTAATAATACTGTAAAAAGCCCAAAATATTTCACCATTATTACGAGGTAGAATTTTCATATTTCTAAAACTGTCCACAGATAAAAGAAGTTATAAAGTAATAGAGGTTGACATCCATGAATATGAACTCCAATTAATATTCAGCTTGAATTGTTTTGCATTAAAACCCACACAAATGCAGCACCTACATGTACAGCCTGCTCTCTTTCAGATTGTATTTCAATCCTCCATCCACATAAATGCAGGCTTTGTCTGCTGAAAATGGGACTTCTCTGGACGGATGGCATCTGCCGTAAGCGATGGATCTATTGGATGTGGAGTCAACAAAGACCTGCGGGCGGCCAGGAGACCCATCTGGACACAGCTGTCTGTGTGCAGACCTTGCAGGATTCCAACCATCATCGCTCCAGCAAAGCTAAGTAAAGAGATAAAGACAGATTAATGTGATATGCTTCTGTCTGCTAAATTTGAATCAGGTTTAAGTCAAAAGTTATGGAACAAAATCAATGCCGAAAGTCTTGAATTAAAAAGCTTGTTGAATATCACAAACTGAAAAAAATAATACACCGTATTAACAAGTTCTTGCATTTTAATGACTTGAATTCCAGGGTTTGTATTTTTAGGTCCTGAAATTTAACATAGCTGTTTATTTAAGATGTGAATATTTCAACTAAAAATATTTCAAACACATTTTCATACTTAAAAATTCAATAATTCATATTCAATTTTCAGATTTCACTTACAAAATATTCAATACCCTTTAAAAATACGATGTATAATATTCAAAAGGTCATTTTCAGTTCATTTTATTTCAGTTCAAATATTCGCTTCCATAAATTCAGTGGATCAAATTCGACTGTTAAAATTCAACATTACATCCGGGAACTGCAGGAAAAGCAATAGATTGTAGATTGAAGATCGCCAGCTGCTCTAGCTTTCACCAGCAGGTGGAGATGGAATAATGTAAGATTTTTAACCCAGTAAACAGGCGAGAAAAAGGCTATTAAAGGCACAAAAGTAGCATTTAATATTAATATCAATGCTTTGGACATTATAAATGATAAAAAGTATAAGTAAATGAGGTTTTAGTCATCTATATTTGCCCTTATGTAACGGAAGCCAGCTGGTGATCGCGTAAATATCAGTCCTCGGATCCAGCGAAAGACGTTGTTCTGCAATCTTTAGCATCCTCGTAGCTTGTCTCCCATGCCGGCTCGCTCCCTGCACGGACCGGTGCGGTTACTTGCACATAAACCGTCTTTTGATGAATATGATGTTACACATTGTCTATCTTTATTGACTCTTTCTTCCATAGACGCGAAGTATTATATTGACAGCTAAAGAATATAAACGTAAGAGAAACAGGAGAGGAAATAGCCTATTATAATAATAATACAACATAGATAAACATTGACAGGGCTAAGAACAATTACGAACAAAGATATTCAAAAGCAGAGAGATTTTATGCGAATGTCACACAAAACAGTTTACTTGGAACTGTTAAACAGAGTTCAGGTATGATTTAAGGTTGGGTATGGATGGGGCGTCTAATTTAAAATAATTTAACATAACGTGCGAATGCATTAAGGAGCGTCAGTTATTATTTAAGCGCAGCTATGTCAGGATTGGGATAGGTTATATAATTTCATTATTTAAACTATGATTATTAATATTAATATTTTATGACATGTATTTAGGCTATTGCTCTTAAATAAGTCATCCGTGATTCTAAATTAATATTTCTATTTATCCTTTTTATCACTCTGTCTTTCTCTTCTTTTTTCTAATTATTGGGATTCTGCCACGGTTAAACATTTGCAAAATGTCTTAGTTCGTCCAGATTATTGTTTTATTGTTATAGCCTATAGGCGAGAAAAAGGTATTAACGCAAATGTGGCAATGTCGCAGCCAATTATAAGTAATAAAATGAGTCGCCTGTGGTTTGATAATAGGCAGTTATAACTGACTTTAATTTGTTTTCAGTATTATGAGAAAAACGTTATTTATAACTTTTCAGCGACCGTTTGTATTGTATGATTAGCAATGTTGATCTTTTTTTCAGTTATTAAACATATAAACTTAATTAAACTGGTTTAAATTTAATATAGTTGTCACTTCAGCTAGTTTCATAAAATTAATGTTTAGAATGCGTGGTTGAGGGGTTCCTGCAAAGCAGCTCAGTGTTCATCATCATGGGGTTACTGAGCTGTAATCGCCATCTACTGGAGAGAATGTATTTGCTCATTTATTCTATTAACTCTCTTCTGCAAGTGTGTTTTATGATTTCACAAAGTCAAACCATTATGTTTTTATTTTATATTTTGAGATGATCATATTTAAATAAACAATTGCTAGGGTAGCTAATAGTTTCTTTTTTCTTGTTTAAAAAAAAATCAGTAGCCTATAAAATCATAATTTTTGCTTGACAAAGTTATTGGTTTAGGATTCTGGATGCATTTTTGCTAAATGATTGTTGGATACTCATAAGCTCACACTAGTTAAATCAATTATATTATCAGAAATGACAGATATAAGAAATCCATTAATATTCATCACTCTTTTTACAATTATACAAGCAATTTCGCTCCGACGTCAGCTCCACTTTCGGAAATGGTAAACAGCGAGGTGTTATTCTTATAAGCCCAAGCATGACATGTC